TATACAAGTTTATTTATATTATCTCAGTTTGCGACACTCTTATTGTTCAGTCCCAACTTTACTTACATTTAATAAACCGTTAAATGAATATGCAACAAAAAAATAAAAGAAAAAAAAAATAAAAGAAAAGAAAAAGAAAAATTATCTAAATTTTTTTTTTTTTAAAAAAAAAAAAAAGTAAGAGAAAAGAAAAAGAAATTATCTAAATTTTTTTTTTTTTTTTAAAAAAAAAAGCATTGCACTATTGCCTATTTTTGTACGACAGACTATCAATAAATAGAAGTAAAGATAAGTCTAATTTTGTTTTATGCTTTTTTTTTCTTTCTAATGATCTAGTATTTAGTAATTTCTATTACCTTATTAATTATTCGATGTCTATCATATCTTCAGAGTCATCATCTGTCGCACTTTTACTGTAAAGTTCATCACCAAATTCATCGTCAAGATTTGATTCATTATCTACACTATCCTGATTTGATGATTCATTATTTTCTTCCTCGAAAAAACACACCTCATTTATACGGTTTGCAATAATAGCTCGAAGATAGCTTGTCATCTTGTCATCTTCACTGCCATTAGGGTTAAGCATAAGCCCGGCTGCTTCAAAAGATCTAGCCAAAAGATCTGTACTGATTTCCCTCCACGTTTCAGATACCCATTCCCATACCAATTCATATGATGCTTTTTTGCGGTTTTCTTTTTTAGTAAACCCACCTTTCCCTTCATCCATCCATTTTTCCCACCTTCGTGTCATGCTATTTTTAAATGGCTTGTTTACTAATACATCGGGAAGTTGCAAGACGCAAGTGGTTCCACCAGGTATCTAACCCTTCCTAAACAAAAAAATATTATCCTTATAAATCTAGTAATTTAAATTAGAATTGATCATATATATTCTAAAATCTATAAGTTTAATTATTGTCTTTTCAATTTTAAAAACAAAATTATAACCTACCATCTTTAATGCTTTAACTACATCATTATGAACATGACTGCGATGGCGATCAACAAAGATTATACCTTTACTTTTAAAGAACCCATTCAGTCTGGCCCGAATAACTTGTGGAATATAAGTGGAGATCATTAAATCTCCTATCATATTTGCACAAGGTGCCGAGTCACCACAACGTCTCGTGGAAACTTGCCCTTTGGTTTTTTTTTTAATTTGAAAATTACAGCAGGCGGAAGTTTTTCTCCAGATGCAGTATAACCCAGGACTACTGTAAAACATAATTTTTCATTCTCTGTAGTTTTAATTAGAACTTCACGAACGCCTTCAAAATCGATTGTTGTATTTCGGGGCATGTCAAACCACATTGGTGTCTCATCAAAAGGGATAATAAATTTTTTTTCAATGTCCTTTGTTTTTTCACGTGAAGTTTGAAGGAATTCTTTAACAACTAAGAGCATATCTTCTGGAAGTTTTTGTGCGTGTTGTGTCTGAACGCGTTCTACCAATTTATTCTGTTGCATGAAACGTTAACCCAACCAGAGGAGAACTTTGCATCTTGAATATCTAAAGTCTTCCTTAATTCTCTCGCCTTTCTTCCAATCATAGAAGCAGTAACTGCTATCCTTTCTGCCTGTTTTATTTGAACATAATTTAATAATTCTTTTTCAACTGTGGGGTACATGGCTTTTCGACTGCGGCCAGGAAAAGTTCGCACCTTATCAACACATAAATTTTGATCATTTTTGATTGCCTCAAATTCTTTTTTTTGCTTTCTCTATTCTTGAACACGTTTTCGATCTACTTGATAGAACAAGGATGCCTTACGGTTAGAAGTTTCTTCAGTGTATGATATTATGTCAAGCTTAAATGAAATAGTATAGCTTTTTTTATTCCCCATGTTTGTAGGTAAAATTTAGACGCGAAGCAAAAAAAAGATCACATTTATTTAAATAGTACTAGGGCTAGGGCATTATTTTAATGGCGATTTCATGACACATAAAGATCAAAATTATCAAAGAAAAAAAAAATCCAAAAGATCAAAAAAAAGAAAAAAAAATAACCAATGAGCCGTTGAAGCCATATAAAATGGCCCAGAGCCGATATCCTGCTCAAGAAGATTAATTGTCGTGTTACAGTGGAAGTTTCTTGCAAATAGCAGAATAGTTCAACTAGAATTAACTTAAATGTTTATTTTAATGGCGGTTTCGTGACACAAAGATCAGATCCAAAAGATCAAAAAAAAAAAATTAACCAACGAGCCATTGAAGTCATATAAAATGGCCCCAGAGCCGATGTCCTGTTCAAGAAAGTTAATTGTTGCAGTTAAACCGCAAAAAGTCCAACTAGTATTAATTTAAATATTTTTATTTTATTTTATTTTATTTTATTTCAATGAAAAGAAGTATATAAATCGATGCTATTAAGGAAAGTGATTTTTTTTCTTTAATCGATAAGAAAAAAATTAGGATTATTTATAATGTTCCATGTTCGTAATAAACTTTGTAATTC